GGCGTCACCTTCGCCGACCCCTACGCGGTCATGAATAGGTTCGCCAACGTGTCGAGGCAGATTTGGACCACCAACTCTTACGACGGGCAGCAGATCATGCAAGCCTACCTGGAGGCGATGCGCAGGGCGAGGGAGGACCCGCTCCCCTGCATCGGGCCGCAGCACTTCTACGCGGTCGTCTGCGTCGCGGACCCCAAGAAAGCCCGTGGGGTCGACAACGTTGAGCCCTTCGACATGCAGAGGTTAGCTCCCAACGGCATCAACCAGCTGGCGCAGCTCTACAATTTCGTGGAGTCCACTGGGCTATGGCCGCAGCAGTTCTGCGCCACGGTTGGCGCGATGGCTCCTAAGCCTGCGGGAGGGGAGCGCGTTCTCGGCATGCCCCCCCCAAAAAAAAAACGCCATCCCGAAGACTTGGAGCAAGATCCGAGCCGCACTCACCGGCCAGTGGCCCAGGGAGCTGGGCGAGTTTTGGGACACCGCCATCCAGGGCTCCAGCGCCCTACGGGCTGCCTTGACAAGGGCGCTCCTCGACGAGACGGCGGCGGCCCTAGGCTTCTCCCACTCGACCCTCCTCATGGACGTCGAGAAGTTCTACGACTCAGTCAATTTCGCCGAGCCCCTGGACACGGCCATCCAGGTAAGGTCCCCCCCCCATTGTCGTCGCGCTGGAGGTGCAGTTGTTGATGGCCCCCAGGCACCTGCGCATGCACGGGTGGGTCAGCGACACCATCGACCCGCAGCGCTCCATCGTCGCTGGGGGCGCGCATGGAGGGAAGCCCGCCAAGGTATACTTGGGCCCCATTCTGGCCAAGGCCCACCACGACTACGCCCACGCAGGCCTGTGGACCTTCGTCGACGACACGGTCGCAAGGACCGAAGGAGAACCCAGGCAGGTCGCCAGGGACCTCGCCGACGTAGGCATCATCTTGTGCGATGGCATGACCGAGGTGGAGCTCAAGGTCTCCCCGAAGACCACGGTCATTGCGTCCTCGGCTGCGGTAGCCCTCAACGTGCACACCTACCTCAAGCGAGCGGGCTACGCCATCAAGGCGTCCCGCACCGCGGTCGACCTGGGCATCGAGACCGTCGGGGCCCGTCGCTGAGTGGCGGCCAAAGCCGCTCAGAGGGCGCGGAAGGCCAAGCGCAGGACTGGACGAATCATATCCAAGATCCGCAGCCACGCCTCGCTTGCCAATGTTGCGAAGGGCCTCTGGACAACGGGCTCCCGCCCGCAGGGCACCTACGGCCACCAGGTCATGGGCCTCTCCCCGCGCACTATCACCGAGCAGAGGCGTAGCGGGGAAGGTCCCTGGACGCTGTCTCACAACCGCCCTTTGCCGTGATCCTGGGCGACAAGGGCCCTGGCATTGAGCTCAGAAGGCAGACCATCTTGGAGTGGCTAAACTTCTGGTTCGCGAGCCCGAACTACCACCAGCGCATCGGCAAGGCCCGGCGGATCATCTACACGAAGGTCACCTGCAGCGGCGCGAGGCGCTGGCGACAGGTGGCGGGCCCCATCTCGGCCGTCCAGGCCATCCTACTCGACGCTGGGTGGGACTGTCCTTCTCCCTTCGAGTGGTCCCGTCAGCCTCGGGAAGGTGAGCAGGGCGAGCAGACATGGCTCCTACCTCGCAAGGACTGTGGAGATTGGGAGCAGAGACGCGAGCAGGTCGACCCGTCGCAGTTGGCCCCGGAGTTCTGTCAGTCCATCGAGAGCGGCTGCTGGCAGGCTGCAGCGAAACACCCTGATGGAGATGGACTTCAGAGAGGAGGGGCCGACGTTCACACCGTGACGTGCGAGATGAACAAGTTCACGCGCGACGGAGAGTACGACTAGTGGGCGCTGAACCTCTGCGTGGTGGCGGGAGCACAGTGGCCCCGTGGGCGTCTCGTCGAGGCGGGCTACCAGGCCAAGACCTCCTGCCCGAGGTGTGGAGGCGCCGAGGAGACGCTGATGCATCGGGTCTGGCTGTGCCCCAGCAACCGCGACCACGAGGACTACGAGAAATCTGACGCCCTCCTCCCTTCAGCCCTCGCCTGCGCTGAGGCTGACCCTGCATGCTGGCTCCGTGGCCTTGCCGCCCGTGCGGACACGCACCCTGTATTTCGAGATAAGGGACGGGGCGGTGGGTGGAGCTGGGTTGGGCGGGACTGGGACGGGTGTGAAGATTCGGATGGCCTGCTCACCCTGCATGGCGACGGCTCGGGGGGTCAGTATAGCTCAGGCCCCCGTCGCCGCAGGGTGGGGGCCGCCGTGATCGCCGTGCAGTCTCGCTTCGGAGAACGGATGCCCTGAGGAGACATCCTCTCAGGCTTGGACGGCCCATTTCAAACGGTGCCGCGCGCCGAGCTCCTAGCATTCGCATTGGCCCTCGAGCATTCAGTTGGCGACCTGCGCTATGTCACTGACAACATGCCCCTGTTGCAGGGGTGGAGGTCGAGCCGCCGCCTGCAGCCCCACGGGGCAAACCGTTGCCCGTGGCAGCGCATTGGCCGAGCGGTCCAGAACAGAGGACCAGGCGCTGTGCGCGTCCAGTGGGTGCCCTCACACAGCGAGGACGCCGCCAGTGTAGCGCGTGACCCAGTTGCCTTCGCCCATGCGCTAGGCAACGCCTGTGCAGACGCGTGGGCTGGCGAAGTCGCCCGCCGCGCATGGGGCGCGGCCATAGTTGGTGCTGCACCCCTACTGACTTGCACGACGCGCAGTGTGCTCTCATCAGGCGCCGTGCCCGTCGCGCGCTCGCTGGTACCCTGGCCGTCGACCCGTGGGTCGCGGAGCGACCTTCGCAGGCTAAGGGACAGCGCGCCACTCTGCTGCAGCGCGCCTTGAGTGCCAGCCCCCACTCCTTCGCGCTCCACTCGGCCAAGTCCAGGTGCTCGAGCTGCGGAGTCACTGTGGATAAGGCCCAAATCCGCCCAGCCTGTGCGACGCCGTGCCAGCCAGTGGCACCCCAGCCTGTCGCAAGCGACCAGGTCGTCCCAGCACAGGGGACGGCCACGCTCTGTGGCCGCGTGCTGCACGCCACACATAAGCTGCACTTCGCGCCGAAGTATTGCATGCATTTCTGCCGCGAATGCGGAAGACAGCCACCGAAGACCCCAGTCACCTTGCCAGACCGTGCGGGGGGTCTCACCCGCAAAGGCAAGGAGAATCTAGCGAAAATCGACAGAGGCCTTTGTACGCGCGCCCGTGCGGGCCGCGACGGCCTCACTCCGTATACCCGAGCGCCGTCCCACGGCATGGCCGCGGAGCAGGCCGCCGCAGCCGCGCTCGCAGGGCAAGGCCGTAGCCTTTTTTCGCGCCATCCTCCGCACGCGGCAGATTGTCGCTGCCGCGCTCGTAACCCAGGACGCGAGCGATCTTATATACCAAGGGTGGCCCCACGGCAAGGCCGTGTTTTTTTTTTTGCGCTACCCTTCGCTTGCGGCCGCTGCCGCAGGCGCGCTGGCACGCACCTTGGTGCGCATCATCGTAATCCTCGTAATCCCCCTCCTCCCCCTCCCGTCTCCAATCTCCTTCTCCTCCCCCTCCTCCTCTTCCTCCTCCTCCTCCTTCTCCTCCTCCTTCTCCTCCTCCTCCGCCTCCTCCTCCTCCTCTTCATCCTCCCCTCTTCCTCCTTCCTCCTTTTCCTCCTCCTCCTCCTCCTCCTCCTCCTCCTCCTCCTCCTCCTTCTCCTCCTCCTCCTCCTCCCCCCACCCCGCCTGTGGCCACCTCGGGCGCCATCGGGGAGGGGTGCGCCCTCCCCCCGCCACCCCTCGCGGAGGGCGAGACAGCGGGAGGGAGGAGAGGAGAGGGCACGGCCCGCCGCAGGGCCCCTGACCCGCCCAGGCGCCGCCTCGTGCACGCGGGCGAAGGAGAGGGGACTGTAGCCCGTGCAGTCGGGAGGAGGAGGGCCTTGTAGAGGGAGATCCTCCTCCTCAACCTCCTCCTCAACCTCCTCCTCCTCCTCCTCCTCCTCCTCCTCCTCCTCCTCCTCCTCCTCCCCCTCCTCCCCGTCCTCCTCCTCCTCCTCCTCCTCCTCCTCCTCCTCCTCCTCCTCCTCCTTCCCCTTCTCCTTCTCCTCCTCCTAGTCGGGAGGAGAAGGGCCCTGTAGAGTTAAGAGTTCACGCTGGCACCTCGACGTGTCCCGTGCAGCTCTTACAGTCCGCCCGCGTAGTACGGTCGGCAGCCTTCCAAAAGGGTACCCTCGCATCCTCGCCTCTTCGGTCCATCCTTCGCCACTTTCGTTGGTCGCGCCCCGCCCGAAAAGCTTCGACAACGGCGTCCAAGGCCCTTGCACCTTTTCCGCGTATCCTGATGATACGGACCGATTGTGGCCCGTGCAGTCGGGAGGAGGAGGGCTTTGCAGAGTTTTAGAATTCACGTTGGCACTTCGACGTGTCCCGCACAGGTCCCCTTAGCGTGACAGCTGTTTATCCCTGCCTTGGGCTCCACCCCCCTGCGCACCGACGGCGGCCCGTTAGTGCGGTGGCTGCAGTCTCCTCCTCGGCTGCGAGCTGCCCTGCGCGTCTTCTCGCAGCAGGTTCCTTCCCGAAGTGGCCACGAGGTTGCTCCTGGGCGGCTTCTCCCGAGCCGCATAAGTATTTTCTCCGCCGGAGGCCGAGGGCAGAGACACCCTGTCGTCATCAAATAGAAGAGAGGAGGTGAAGAAGGAGGCTCCTTCTGCTCCTCCTCCTCCCCACTTCCTCTCCCTCCTCCTCCTCCCCCTCCTCCTTCACTTCCTTCTCCTCCTCCTCGTCCTCCTCCTCGTCCTCCTCCTTGTCCTCCTCCTTCTCCTCCTCCTCTTACTCCTCCTCCTCCTCCTACTCCTCCTCCTCCTCCTCCTCCTCCTCCTCCTCCTCCTCCTCCTCCTCCTCTACTTCCTCCTCCTCCTCCTCCCAGGGCCTGGAGGAGGCAGGCGCCCGCCAGTTCTGGGGCCCAGGGTCTCTCCGAGGAGGAGGAGGGCGGATACGTCCCAGCCTCGCGCGGCGCGTGGAGCAGCGCGGGGCGTCGCCAGGGCATCGTGCAGTACGTCAGGGAGCTCGAGGTGCTCCTGAGACCGGACGGCGGGGTGGCAGCCGCCACGCTGGCAGGCACGCGGCCCACACGTAGTAGCAGCAGGAGTGGGAAGAGATCGAGGAACACAAGGGGGGATAATCCAGAAGAATAATTTACCAGCCTCGAACGTATCCCTGTCCTTAAGATTGACACGCCAAAAGGCGATGACAATCTTAGGGATTCGCCCTCAAAAAATAAGGGAATCCCTAATACTGACATCGCGATGAGGAGGTGCCCAGCATAGGGATAGGGATATGTTCCAGGCTGGTAAAATCTGCAATGGTTGCGCACATCATTCATGATCCTTGGACGTCGACCCGCCGTCCTCCCTCCTCCCCCTTGACCGTCGCCCCGTCCTCCCGCCCTCCCTCCCCCCTCCTTGCACGATGGCACAACTCGCTCGACGCCTGCCTCGTTTCGCTCCGTTGGGCCAGCGCAGTGACTCTGCCCAGCTGCCGACGCAAAAGTGTTTTACTCGTCGAGTCCCGTCCTCCCTCCCTCCCTTGATCGTCGCCCCGTCCTTCCTCCCCCCCTTGATCGCCGCCCCGTCCTCCCTCCCTCCCCCTCTTGCATGATGGCAAAAGCGTTTTACTCGTCGAGTCCCCCCTCCCCCATCCCCGGCCTGGGCAGGACGTGCCGCTGGTGCTCTGCCCCGCCCACGAGGACGCCGCGCACGAGCGCTTCCTGCTCGAGGCCGACGGCTGCGTCTGCTGCGAGGCCGATCTCTCTCCCACCGCTGCTCGGGAGGCGTTGGGAGTCCTCCTCCCTCCTCCTCCCCCACCTCCACCTCCTCCCTCCCTCCTCCCTCCTCCTCCTTCTCCTCCTCTCCTCCTCCTCCTCCTCCTCCTCCTCCTCCTCTCCCTCCTCCTCCCTCCTCCCCCTCCTCCTCCCCCTCCTCCTCCTCCTCCTCCTCCTCCTCCTCCTCCTCCTCCTTCTCCTCCTCCCTCCTCTCCATCGTTGTGAGGCCTTTGTTGGGGAGGCCTTCGCTTGGGAGGCCTTCGGCCCTCCGGGCGCCCCTCCCTCGCTCCGCCCTCGCGGGCCAGCGTGATGCGGGCCCCGCGGCGGGAAGGCGAGCGCTGGCGGCCTGCCGCGGTGGGGACGGCGGCGGCGGCGACGGCGACAGTTGCGACGACGACCACGACGACGACCACGACGACGACGACGACGACGCCCCCCCGATAAAAGGTCGGCAACGACTGCCCTGGAGCACACCGATTTCAGGTTAACATGCCAAACAACCACGCAGGTGCACCAACCATTCACATGTTTCGACCCTGCGAGGAAGGCTGTTCCTCAACGGGGGCCTCGTAAAAGTGTTCTCTTGTGTGGCGGTCTGGCAAACAAATCATTATTTGCGACGGCCTTACAACAGGATTTCCTTTTGCAGCGGCATTACAAAAGGATGTCCTTTCGTATGGCCTTACAGACGGATTTCCTTGTTTGGCACCCTTACACGAATGTGTCCTTTAATGGTAGCCTGATCGACGAATTCCTGTGTAACGGGCTTACAGCATGACTATTCCCGCCACGGCCTTACAAAGGGATGCCCTGTGTGGTGGCCTTACAACATATTTGGTGTGTGGCCGCCGTACATCAGGATGCCCATTGTGGCGGCCTTGCCAATTTAAGCTTGTGTTGGATGCAGGAGGAAGCCAAGGAAAGACATACAACACATAACAACCTATGCAAAACGAAAAGTGAACTTCAAAATAGGTGCTTGCAAACATGCTGGTACCTGATATTGTGAAACTATGAAAACTCATCGTGTTCAACAATCGGAGCTCCCAAACACTGTGAAACATAACGTTTTGAGCAATCGGAGCTCCCAAACGGTGTACAACACACCTGCTTCAGCAATCGGAGCCCCGGAACGATGCGAAACACAACGCCAATTGAAGTTTCGAAACGTTGTGTTTTACAAGGCGTCTTGCTTCGGACGTGAAGAGACAATTTAAAACACAGCGCATCGACGGGCTTGCGAAAGGATCCGATTTGAGATTGCCTTACTACAGAGAAGGATTTTCTTCCATAACGGCCTTGCAGAAGGATTTCCTTTTCGTGACGGTCCTACACAAACATTTCGCCTGTGGACAACCTTACATCAAATCGTTTCCGATGTGGCAGCATGATTCTCTTTGTAACGGCCTGGCAAAAAATGTCCATTTGTGGCGGTCTCACGCAAAGACGCCCTTTGTAGCGGCCTTGCAAACATATTCTTCTTGCGACGACCTTACAAACGGAGCCCCGTTTTCACGGCCTTCAGGGGGTTCCGTTGTAGCGGCCTGGCAAAAAGGAATATTGTTGTGGTGGCCTTGCACAAGAGTTTTCTCTGCGGCCTTACAACTATACTTCTTAACCATGGACACAGGAGGAAGCCAAGGAAATACAAACAAATGCAACACCAAATGAAATTCTGAAAATTGATGTCGGTTAACTGGTGTTGGTGCCCGAGGTTGGAAAACATCAAAATACAGTGTTTTTGGCAATCGGAGCTCCCAAACATTGTAGAACACAGCGGTTTCAGCATTCAGAGCTCCCGAACATTGTAAGCACAGAGAATGTTTGTGTAATGCCACCACATGGATCATCGCTTGTGTCAAGCCGCCACAAAACGAATCCGTTATGTAAGGCAACCGCACGGAGAATCCTTGTGTAAGGCCACCACACAGCGAATTCCTATGAGTCGTGTTACAGCGCGTTGTACGTTTGCTCGCTCATCTCTGCCTCACCGCGCTTTTTGTCCTCGTCCTCATCTTCCTCCTTCTCCTTCTTTCCACGCCCCGCGCGGTCTCCCCCCATCCCGTTCTCGCCCTCCTGTCCAATGTGATCGCCATCGTCTCCCAACTCTTCCTTCGCCTCCCCCCCAATTCTCCTCCTTCGCATAGTGATAATCATGATCATCATCGTCATCCTTTCCGGCTTTTCTCCCTTGCCATCATCATCATTGGGTTTTTCCTCCCCTTATTCGACCGGAGAACAGAAATAGATGTGATGATTGTAAGGATAGAAAACGAGGTGCCTGAAGATGACGATGATACTGCAGAGGTCTGTTGACGAAGGACTTGCCCCCCTCATCCTCGGCGGAAGGCGGCGGAAGCGAAGCGAGGCCGCCCCTAATTGCACAAGCCAGCGGAAGGCGGTGGAAATTGGTGAAAGTAAAACCGCCCCCCAAGAGATTACAGTGTTTGTTTGTTCTGGGTCCCTGAAACCCTGCCTCCTGGAGCAGGCTCGGGGGCTGCTGGGATCGGCGCGAGGGGGGCTACGGGGATAAGGCGGTGATCAATGGATGCCAAGGTGTGTCGTATATGGCCATGCTCAGCACCTAGTTTCTAGGTAGGCTACAGATGCTCCAAGTGGCTTACGGGGGTCAGAGATCGGGGCGACAAATTTAGTCTCAATCAACAATGGTTCCGCCAAGAGCAAAGAGACAAGGTCCAATATCCAAGATCCAAGACCGGCCTTTTCGTCGACGCTCGTTGGAATAGGCGAATCACGCTCTCTGGTTATGGGTGGCACTTCCCGCAGCTCCTGGAATGACTAGTTCTGGTCTGAGGCGGCAGCGTTGGTAGAATGCTCGACGTCGATGAGAGGGCTGGTTTTCAGGTATGCTGTGTACAACATACTTCTATATATGTCTATATATATATAGGTATATAGACCCATGCATGCGACGTTGTTTTTTCAGGACGGCGTCCCTTGAAGTCTCGACCCTTACCCCAGGATTGGTTTCTCGTCCTGAGTCGTTTTTTTCACGGTCCCGAGGCCCGGCGAGGGCTTTTGGGGGCTGAAAGATGTAAAAAACCTCCCGTCCTGATTCTTGAACGACGCGAGCATGTCTGGGGACACATACGCAAGGAGGAGGAGGAGGAGGAGGAGGAGGAGGAGGAGGAGGAGGAGGGAGGTAATGGAGGAGGAGGGGGAGGAGGAGGAGGAGGAGGGGAGGAGGGAGGAGGGAGGAGGGGGGGGAGGAGGAGGAGGAGGAGGAGGAGGAGGAGGAGGAGGAGGAGGAGGAGGAGGAGAGGAGGGAGGAGGAGGAGGAGGAGGAGGAGGAGGAGGAGGAGGAGGGATGTCTACTATATCGTTGCGGGTTGGTGTAGGGCACGCGTCGAGCCGTAGTCAGAGTCCAGCGCGGGCTCGGGTCGCGGCCAGCCCCGCCCAGGGTCGCGGGCGGCACGCGGAGGCCGTTGGCCTGGGCCTCCCAGGCGGGGTCTGAGTCGGTGGGGTCGGGGGATCGCGAGCACTGCTCCTCCTCCTCCTCCTCCTCCTCCTCCTCCTCCTCCTCCTCCTTCCTTTTCCTCCTCCTCCTCCTCCTCCTCCCTTTCCTCCTCCTCCTCCTCCTCCTCCTCCTCCTCCTCCTCCTCCTCCTCCTAGACTAGACGGTGTCTGAGTCAATGGGGTCGGAGGCCTTGTGGGCCCCGGACACGATAGGGCCGGTTTTTCACCGTTTCCCCCAAAAAAATGTCCCTTGAAAATGGAGACGGCAAAAAAAAAGGCGACCGGGAACGGCAAAACAACGGCTCCAGGATTGGAACCGGAGCCGGAACCGGTCAAAAAACGGCGACGGAACCGGTAAAAAAACGGCGTCGGAACTGGCAACAAAACGGCAAAACGGAACCGGTAACAAAAACGGCCCTGTCGTTTCCAGGGCCCACTAAAGCATTGCTGGTGCATCGACGGTGCGGCTTGATGTCGAGCCCATGTGTCGCCACGCCGACGTCGCCGATGCATCCGCGCCTGCGAGCAAATGGGGTCGGAGGATCGCGAGCATTGCTGGTGAATCGACGATGCGGCTTGATGTGGAACCCGTGTTTCGCCACGCCGATGCATCCGTGCCTGCCCATGTCCACCCTGGCTCCGCTCGTGGCCTCGACCCGGAAGCGTATTTGCGCCTCCTGCCTATTGCAGGTCGGCTTCTGCAGTGGTCCGGGCTTGCCTGGCATCTCACAGGCGTGCATTGCGTCCGCATCCGAGGCGTCAAGATCTGGTGGTCGCGCTCCCTCCTCCTCTCCTGTGACTGACCAGAGCTTTGTGCCTTCTGCCGTATGTCGTCGTCGGCGTCCTCGTCGTCATCCTCGGGTCGCGCCGGCACGAGCCTCGAGGGCTCCAGGCACCCCGCCAGGCCCCGGCGCCGTCGTCGTCAGCGTCCTCCTCGCCCTCCTCGCGTCGCGCCGGCAGCGCCGAGCCTCTCGAGGGCTCCAGCGGAACCCTGCCGGCCCCCGCCGCCCTCCGCGGCGGCCGCGGCGGGGCCCTGGCCCTCCAGCGGCCGAGCGGCTCCGTCCGGGAGCCCCGCAGGGCCTCCGAGCCGAGGCGTCGCCTCTGCGGCGCCTTCGCGCGCCCTCGGCGGGGCGCCGCGGGGAGGAACGCGGCAACGGTCCAGGCAGGGCCGCGCCTGCGGCGCGTCGGCGCCCCTCCTCCTCCTCCTCCTCCTCCTCCTCCTCCTCCTCCTCCTCCTCCTCCTCCTCGGACGCCGGCGGGCGCAGGGGTGGCGGTCCAGGCAGGGCAGGGCCCCGCCCGGCGGCGCAGCGGCGCCCTCGGCGGAAGCAAGGTGGGCATGGGGGCCCGCCGGCGGACGTCGGCGGAAGTTGGGCGGAGTGTGCTGGGAGTGAGAGAGGGTCGGCAGCAGCAGTTTTGGGGGCCCGGATCCACGGCTTCGGGAGCGAGTCGTGCGACTGTCAGGATAGCCAGTGCACGTCAACTGGCGGTATGCCGTGAGACGGGTGGAGCACCATGGGAAGATTGTCTGAACAAACATTGGGAGCACGATCCAAACACGAACGGATCGATTGAAACTATCGGCCGTCACGTCTCATGTGCTGTTGCTCTGGCCCGGGGAAGTGATTCGCATAATATTTAGAGACCGTGTTGTTATACCCTGGCGATAACGAGAGTGACCAGGGGGGAGGGAGGGAGGGGCCGGTCACGTTACGATTGGGACCAGCGCCGTTTGAGAATGCTTCGGAATGGCTGACTTCCACACGTCGCCAGCGCTGGTCGCTTGATCGCGAATGATATGAAACGCTCCCAACAAAAACAACGGCTTCTGAGGTACCCTCTAGAGGCTCCTTATCAGGAGGGGGAGAACACACACACACACAGGAAGAATCGTCGATTCCCAGGAAGATACGAGAAAATATGGGAAATGTGGGGAAGACGAAACTCCAGACAATGTAGGGGAAAGATTGGCAGTCCTGGCATTGGTGTCCATTTGCTGGTGTGTCCCTGGGCCCCCCTTCACGCTATAGAGGGCCAGAGGCGCCCTGGAGCCGCGACATTCTCGGGCCCCGGGCACGGGCAGCAGGCCGATCCGCTGGCGGGTCGGGGCGCAGGCCGGAGGCGCCGACGGGCCCCCGCTTAAGCGGGGTGGTGACCACACCGTGCGGTGAGCCGGTGGGGCTTCGGGCTCGCCGCACGGCTTTGGGGACCCGCGGACGTTCTCTCCGAGGACGTCTCGGGCGACCGGGGCCTCCGAGGTCCCAGGGCCTCACCGCACGGTCCCTCAACCGCACGAGGAGGAGGAGGCGGAGGAGGAGGAGGAGGAGGAGGAGGAGGAGGAGGAGGAGGAGGATGGGGAGGAGGAGGAGGAGGAGGAGGAGGAGGAGGAGGAGGAGGAGGAGGAGGAGGGAGGAGGAGGAGGAGGAGGAGGAGGTCGAGGTCACCGCACGGTCGGTCACCCCCCCTTTTCGGGACTCCAAAGACACGGGGGGGGGCCGTTGGCTCCCGGGGGGAGAAGCCCCTCGACCTCCTAACGTCGCCCCAATCCTCGCCGATCGGGGCCCAGGCGCACAGCCCCGCCCAGGAAGCAGCGCCCCTCGGGCCAGGAAGGCATCACGACCGACACCGTGTCGCCATCCTCGGCCTCGCGCGGGGCCCTCGCGGGGCCCTGGGGGCAGTGAACAGAAA